GATTTGAGAAACCAGTTTGCAGAGATACATTGATGGAAGATGTGAATGCATGGTTAAGAGATAACTGATAGAACGAGATCTAATGTGTGTCTAAGAGAGATCCAAAAGAGAGTAAAGAGAAAGAGAGCAGGGCAAAAATTAAAAGAATTTCTAGAAATTTCCTAGACATACAGAAAACCTGGATCCTAGAACTGAGACGCAGGCAGATTGACATGTGCTGGTGAGGCTGAAGAACTTTATTGAGCTTGGGCGAACCACACATGATGGTTAATGGTCATGCCACTTGACCAGATTGAAAACACCTACGGGATTAGTAAAGCCCCTCTGGGCATGTCTGTGAAGGCCCTGGCCTAACGATGCTTTAACTGCGTTGATGGAGTCACACCCTGAATGACTAGTGAGAGGTGGTGGAAGTGTGGGAGATGGGACTGGAAGGGTGGAGGTGGAAGCAGGTCATTGGCAGCGGTGCCTGGAGGCTGTATCTTGTCCTTGCCCTTCCTGTTATTCTTCCTGTCCACAATGAGGTGAAGAAATGCCTGTGTCACAAGCTCCTGTGCCTTTTGCTCCTGTTGCTGGAGTGTTCTTCCTCACCGTGAGCCCAGACACAGAGCAAGTAACACGGACTGAATTTTGCCAAAACAAATCTCCCTCCCTTAAGTTTTTCTGTCACATACTTGCTCACAGTGTTGCAAAACTAATTAATCCAGCCATTGGCAATATGGCTTAAAAAATATATAAGCCTTTGACCCAGAAATTCTGCTTGAAGGAGTTTCTTCTCAAAATAATGCAATTCCACTTGATCTTGTATACTTAATAATAGAATATTCAGAACACAATATGTAATAGATAAACTTAGTTAGGATATAGCCATAAAAGCACTGCTTTCTATGTAGCTGTTAAAAATGATAATATGGGTCTATTTTTATTTATTGTCAGAGGTAGTTAATATCATGAAAACAGCTAGTTAGAAAGCAGTGTACAATGTTTGGTCCAATGGCATAAACAAAGATCTGTATATATAAAAAGTTTTTTTGGGCAATACTGGGGATTGAACTCAGTCCTTCACTTGCTGCACTTGCAGGGGCTGGAGCTGCACCCCTGGTGCAATCAAAGAAGTGTGGGGAGGAAATACTTGATTTACAGTTGCTTATCATGGATGGTTAGTTCTTACTTTCTCTTTTATACTTTTACTTGTCTTAAGTTTTTAAAATTAGCTTCTTGTGTATCTTAACAGCCATAAAAAAAAAATCAGATAGTTCACTTGGGAAACACAAGAACCCAAACCTGAAAGAAAAACGACGCTCTCAAGTTCTAACTGCAAGAACAGCCATGATGGCTGAGGAAGACAGCGTGTTACACGACAGCCCAGACCTGGGCTGGAGAGCGATACTGATTGCCTTTTCTTTTAGTCCATCCTGCTTTCTCTTTTCCTGGAAGCTTTTAGTAAAACAGCTATTTTTTCAGCTTTTCCTCTTCTTTCTAAAACAAAGTATAAATCCCAATGTAATTCATGCCCACTCCATGAGTGAGGTCATTTTTAAACATGGAAATAACTGGATAAAGTCAACATCTTTCCATCTTTCCTGTGGTCAATGACTGTGATCTTCTGGAGAGGTACAAACAATCAGTGAGATTGGTAATAAAGAATTGGTCAGGGTGTGATCCTTCTTGTAGTTTTCCTCTGGGAGGAAAACTTGCTCTGCAGCTGGAGCTCAGCCCGTCTGCACTAGGTTGAACAGCCAAGCAGTGATCCACACTGATTCTTGACCAGGGAAGCTTCCTCAGGGTTCTGGGGGCATTCTGAGCTCACTGTGATTTGTGTGTGTGCACACGAAATGGGTCATTACCAGCCATCGCTATCTGTGAGTTGTAGTTAATTGTGGGTGTGGATTTTTTTAAATGTGTGATTAATTAGAAGTTGGATGTTATGCTTTTCTCCAGATATTTTGATCCAATTCAGCTTGTTAGATCCAAGCAAGTCCACTCTAAATGAAGAGTGTGGTGATTTACAAGATGAAAAGAATATCGACTGCTGGGTACCAGTGACTCACACTGTAATCCTAGTTACTGGGGAGGCTGAGATCAGAAGGTTTGTGGTTCAAGGCCAGCTCAGGCAATAGTTCGTGAGACCCCATCTCCAGAATAACCAGAGCAAAAGGGACTGGAGGTGTGGCTCAGGCAGAAGAGCACATGTTTTGTATGTGCAAAACCCTGAATTCAAACCCCAGCACTACGAAAAAAATTTTTAAAAAGAGAATACAGGCTTTTTAGTATCAAGTTCTTAATAGCAAAAGAGATCAGGCCCTAAATGCTGCCTAGACTGATAGAGAGTTTTGGGGTTTTCCATAATAACTAACTGAAAAGAGTTTTCCTGGAATTGAGAGCAATGTGGTGGTGATATCTGTCACTCTTGATCACAAGGGTTGATCTGTCTGAACCGGGTGACTGTCACTGCTCCCTGTAAGTCTCTCCATCCTCCTGACTTCCCCAGTAAGAGGAGGGCGTACTTGACTCAAGGGGATATGAGTAGTTACACATTTCTACTAGAGTCTCCGAACAAGTCCTCAAGGTCCATTTGTAGGAGAACATAGGGGAGTCCAGCTTCCAGGACTCCAGATGCAGCAAGTGAGGTGCTGCTTGTGGCAGTCTGCCTTTCTTGGAAGGAAAGGAGGGAGGGGTGATGGTACCTGCTCTGTGCCAGGTACTGAGGTTGGTGTGGTACTGTAACAGTGAATATGTTGTTGTGTGTTTTGTTCTCATGAAATGGAGAGAAAACAAGAAACAAACTACTGTATCTAAGAACACAAAGGACACACCAGGACACTATAATACAATGGGTGGAGAAGCAATGAGGAGTTAAAAAAAAAGATGGGGAGAGAAGGCCTTTTTGAGCAGGGATCATCTAAACTAAGACCTGGATTAAAAGGAAGCAGACACAGGAATGTGCTGGGCGTACAGAACACTTGGGCAAGGGAACTGAGGCAGGATAAACCTTGATGTGTCTCAAGAGCAGAAAAAGACACAGAATGTCTGGTGCCCAGCAAGCCAGGTGGGAAAGGTATAAGCGAGGCGTGTGGGTCTGAGGTGGGTCTGAGGACCGTGCTGAGGCGTGGTAGATTGAGAGGGGACAGAAATAGGAATCTTCAGTTAAGAGGAGAGCCTCCTTGGAGGGTCATAAGCATTGGGAGTCATAAGTATTCTGACAAAGCCACAGACTGCTGTAGAAAGTCTAACTTAGGGGTGTGGAGAGAATAGAGGAGGACCTAAAAAGCCAGTTGAGTTGGTGGAGGTGGAACCAGGAGACTGTCGGCCTCTGGAAGGCCAGTAGGAGAACCCTGGGAGACAGATGGTTGATTGGGTTTTGATTGTCATGAAAAGTCTAGAATATCAATGTCAATTATGGTGGTCACTTAACTGCATGGGGCCTTTGAGGCTTGAAATGTGCTGGAAGTGTAAAATAAAACATACACCGGATTTTGAAACTTAGTACAAAAATAAGAGTGTAAATATTTCATTAATACCTTTTCAGTAGTGATTACATGTTGAAATGATAACTTGGAATTTATTTGTGTTAGAAATATTGGGGCACTTTGTGATCACAAATCAGACATGTGTGTGAAAGTTGATGGACATGGAAACATTTACTTCTGCAGAGGGTGTGCCTCTGACCAGAGTCAGGCAAGCCAGCACACTGAGGCAAAAACCACCTCAGTTTTTATCCCTAAGTTAGGACTGCCCCTTGCTCTAAAGGAGGGAGCTCGGGTTCATGGTCTTCAGGATTGATTAGGGTTGAGGTTTAGGGGAGGACATAGGGGAAGAGCAAACATGATTGGAGAACATGGACAAGAAACTTAATTTGGCTGGTGCACCAAAAGACAAAGAGGTGACCCATGAGGCAGGAATTCTAGGATTCTGGGGAAACTGAGGTCTGAAATGACTGTTGACCTGAAATGGCAGGACCAAGTAATAATCCACCCATGGGCCAAGGGGACCTTGAAGCAGAGATTCCTTTGGACAATGATTATGTTAAAGCTAGCAGTTTGAGTTTTAGAACATCCAGTGAAACAATTCTCTGCTTAAAGCAGAAACTTTACAGCTAGGCATCATGCCACTGAGCACATAGACAACTGGGGAAATTAGCTAATATCCACACAATGACAGACATATTCCATAGTGTGATACTGGGGAGGAGGGGGAGAAAGGGGTCAAACCCGTGCCCCTGAGATGAAGAGTCTCATGCTCTACCAACTGAGCTAGCTCTTTGACAGAAAAGACCCAACTTAGTGGATTCTCACATTTGGTTAAATAAAATATATTATTAAAATTTCACTTCTTTTTATAAAATTATGGCCACTAGGTGGGCAAGACATGGTTGTATACCTGTAACCCCAGCTACTTGGGAGGCAGAGGTAAGAGGATCACAGTTCAAGGCTAGCTCTAGCAAAAGCCACAAGACTGTCTCAGAACAGGCTAATAGCAAAAGGACTGAGAGTGTGGTTCAAGTGGCAAAGTGCTTGCCTCACACCAAGAGGCTTTGAGTTCAACCCCCAGTACCTCAAAATATATATATAAAATTTTAAATTTAATATATTTTAATATTCACGAGAAAACTTAAAATTACATGTGTGGCTTGCATTATATTTCTTTTGGAAGTCACTAGGAAACTTGCTAAGAGTAGACTGCCTCAGATTAAATAATACCTAGCCCAATTTTTATACACCAGTGAAGCTGAGTCATCATCATAGTAATACCTTTTTGCCTAAAATTAACAAAACTCGCCACTAAAATTTCATGTAGACTTTTTGACATGTGTGTGCCCTAATAATTTCACATAAATTGACAATAAAATATGTATTAAGCCCTTTGAAATCAACTCAACTGTGTTTTAAAAATATTTTTAACCTGTATTTTCTTTCTCTCCTTTTTGTCTTTTTTCTCTTTATTTAAATTCCTTTTTATTTTATTTTATTTTATTTTTGCATCTCTGGCCAGGAAACTTCATGGTGTTATGGTCAACTTGCCGCACAACTGTGTTCAAATCTGTCACCAACAGGTTCATTAAAAACCTGGCTTGCTCAGGGATCTGCGCCAGCCTTGTCTGCGTGCCGTTTGACATCATCCTCAGCACCAGCCCTCACTGTTGCTGGTGGATCTATACCATGCTCTTCTGCAAGGTCGTCAAGTTTTTCCACAAAGTCTTCTGCTCTGTGACTATCCTCAGCTTCCCTGCCATTGCTTTGGACAGGTAAGGTCAGGTGTCCAAGGACTCAACTTTTTTAAGGCATTGAGAAATGAGCATCATGAAGCTAACAATGAATAGTCAGTGCTCCATATGCTGCTGTTTATAGTCTGCGTGCAGTCAGCAGAAAGAGAACAGGTGTTCAAAACACCGCCGTGAAAAAGGTGGGTTGAGCGGCTATGCTCAACTGTAGGAGGCTTGAGAAAGACCTGGGGGTGGGGTTATGTCATTGGATGCTACTGGATCACAGTGCCACTTCAGGCTTAGGTGGAATCAGTATTTGCATCGCAATTTGAAGTACATTGCTCATCTGATTGATAACTGTGCCAATAAGGCTCTTCGATGTAGGATGAAAACATTTCTGGAAGAGCAAGGGAATGGTTCAGTGATCATTGAACAGATGGTTCCGTGGTCCAGGTGGACCCAGCAGATAGCCCCAGAATTCCTCTGGAGGACTTATTTGCAAGGTGGCGTCCTGTTTCTCTTCCCCTCGTCTCCTTTAAAGCATACTCATTTGGAACGGAATCCCGCGCCTCAGTAATGCTACCGTTCACTATTTGGAAGTGAGAGTCCTGTGTCGAGTTTGCATTTGTGTTGAGCCACTTGTGTTCATGGCACGTGTCCTGTGTACTGCCTCTACTGAAGTTGTTGTTTTTTTTTTTTTTTGAATGGGGTTTCATTATATTGCCACTCTGGCGTCAAATTTCTGGGCTCAAGTGATACCCCGAGCTCAGCCTCTTCTGTAGCTGGGACTACAGGTGCACCCCAGAACCAGCATTGGTGAAATATATATACACACACTTATATATAAAATATATGAAATATATGAACTAATATATGTATATATACTATATGAAATATAGTATACGAAATATAGTGTATATATTATATGAAATATAGTATATACATATATATATAGAGAGAGAGAGAGAAAGAGAGATGTAGATAGATCGATGGTACTGAGGCTTGAATGTAGGGCCTCATGCTTGATAAGCAGGTGCTCTACCACTTGAGCCATTCCACCAGCCCTGTTGGTGAAGTCCTAAGTCTTCTGTGTCATATCCTGGACTCTTCTTTCCTGGAAGCTTTTTAAAAAATGGTTTGAAGTATAGTTTACCTACTCTACCCACTTGTGCCCATTTTAAGGCACAAGTCAATGAATCTTAGTATGTTTATTGAGTTGTACAGCCAGCACTGCAATATAATTTTAGAATTTCCCCTATCCTCCCATAGAAACCTCATGCCCATTCATACTTTCTCCCCATTTCCACCCCCGTGGAACCACTGATCTGTTTTCTGTCTCTATATAATGCTTGTCATCGATGCTTACCTGGTCCCACGGGTGAGTGAGTGTCACTGTGGCTGGGGATCAATGCCAGTGTTAGCTGACAGTTAATGTGGTAAAACTCACCGTATCTGTGGTGGCTGGTGGCAGCCCCTTCGTGACAGAAGTACTTCTGGGGTTTGAGGAATTATTCAGTTCCCTCAAATCACTGGTGATATCAAAAACAAAGTTCATTTAGGTAGTTACAGAACAATTGCATTAAAGCTTGAAAGGAAAAATAAGTCTCAGCTGATTTTAATAAAAATTAATTGTTTTAAACTTAATTGTTTTAATTTAAATTAAAAATTTAATTGAATTAAAATTTTTAATTGTTTTATAGCCCTGAGTTCAAACCATAGTACTACTCTCCCAAAAAGGAGTCTCACTTTTTTGCCTAAACCAACTTGGACAGTGATCCTTCCTATTTTAGGCTTCCTGCCATAGCTGGGATGACAGGCATGTAGCACTGTACCCAGCTTTCTTCCATTGAGATAGGGTCTTGTGAACTTTTTGTTTGGGCTGGCCTCAAACCACAGCCCTCCCAATCTCAGCCTCCCAAGTAGCTGGGAATACAGACATGCACCACTATGTCCAGCTTGTTTTGCTTTTTGGTCAGTGATGCTTCTTATTGTGTTCCAGAGTCCTCAAATTTAAGATCTGGCTTCCTGGATTCTTCCAGTAGTCCCTTCTTTCTTAGGCTGGATATAAGAACTTGGCCATTTCCCCCTCTTGCCTACTTTGGGTCACTTAGAGTCCTCTAATTTTAAAGCGTGTCTTTCTCTGTGAAGTTGATTGTGTGTGTATTGTGCAGGTACTACTCCGTCCTCTACCCACTGGAAAGAAAAATATCTGATGCCAGGTCTCGGGAACTGGTGATGTATATTTGGGTCCACGCAGTGGTGGCCAGCATCCCCGTGTTTGCAGTCACCAACGTGGCCGACGTCTATGCCATGTCCACCTGCACGGAAGTCTGGAGTAACTCCTTGGGCCACCTGGTTTATGTTCTGGTCTACAATGTCACCACGGTCATTGTGCCTGTGCTGGTGGTGTTCCTCTTCCTGATTCTGATCCGTCGGGCCCTGAGTGCCAGCCAGAAGAAGAAGGTCATCATAGCCGCGCTGCGCACCCCACAGAACACCATCTCCATCCCCTATGCCTCCCAGAGGGAGGCCGAGCTGCACGCCACCCTGCTGTCCATGGTTACAGTCTTCATCCTGTGCAGTGTGCCCTATGCCACCCTGGTGGTATACCAGACCGTGCTCAACGTCCCTGACGCCTCTGTCTTCTTACTGCTCACTGCCCTTTGGCTGCCCAAAGTCTCTCTGTTGGCAAACCCCGTGCTCTTCCTAACTGTGAACAGATCTGTCCGCAAGTGCTTGCTGGGGTCGCTGGTGCAGCTGCATCACCGGTACAGCCGCCGAAATGTGGTGAGCACCGGGAGTGGGGTGGCTGAGGCCAGCCTGGAACCCAGCCTGCGCTCGGGCAGTCAGCTCCTGGAGATGTTCCACATTGGACAGCAGCAGATCTTCAAGCCCACCGACGACGATGAGGAGAGTGAGGCCAAGTGCCTTGGCTCAGGGGACTTACAGGCCAAGGAGGGCCTTACCTCCTGCCTGGAAGGAGAGCAGGGGCCCCAGTTTGCACCACCACCGGGCACAGTGGACTCCTTAGCCCAGGTGGCCCCAGCAGTCCCCATGGAGCCTGAGACTTTCCCAGACAAATATTCTCTGCAATTTGGCTTTGGGCCTTTTGAGTTGCCCCCTCAGTGGCTCTCAGAAACCCGAAACAGCAAGAAGAGGCTGCTTCCTCCCCTGGGCAACACCCCAGAAGAGCTGATCCAGATCAAGATGCCCAAGGCGGGTAGAGTGGAACGGAAATGAGCAGGAATAACAAAGTGAGCATTTTCCCAAAGGTGGATTCCTAGCAAGCACCACACATTCCTGGAAGCAGCAGGGGGGTGTCCGTCCCCCTGTGTCATGTCCCCACCCCCCCGCTTGGCCATGGGTTGTGTGATCTCCTTGCAGTCCTCTGTAGGTTCCTCCTGTGTGGGCCAGTACTTCTGAATCAAAGGGAAATCTAGGTAAAATCAAATCAGATTTATTGAGGGGAGTATATATATTTGTCTCAGTGACCCATGTCCTTAGTAACCTCCATGTTCCTCTCTGTGGGATGAAAGCAGGCAGTTTGGAGCAGGTCTTGCGGGGGCGAATGAAGAGGGATCCTCCCTGCACATTTTCTAGGGACTCCTCATTCCTCTGAGCACAGCATAGAGCAAACAGGGAGAAGAGCGTCTGTGAGCTCAAAGGGACATTCTGAGGAATCCCAAGATAATTGTTGGGTGGAATGGCCACAGATATGATTCCTGTATGGGTAACTGAAATGTGACAAAAGGGAAAGCTTTTATCTTG